TCTTTTTCTTTTTCTTTTTCTTTTTCTTTTTCTTTTTCTTTTTCTTTCTTTTTCTTTCTTTTTCTCTCCATACTGGACTGTACTCAAAAGCTGAACAATCAAGTGTTGCAGCTCTGAAGTCTCATTTCTCTAGCATGCCCTCACCTATGAGGATTGTTATATAGGTTTTCTGTGTATTAGTCCATGAAAAAAAACGATCCTTGCAAACCCTTTCTGGAAAAAATAAGCAGAGAAAGCAGCATTTGTTCAGCCACCCCTAGAGGCAGATATGTAATGATAAAGATGCTGTGGCACGCCTCCCTGCACAGCCCTGCTGCCAGCACATCTGGCAGCACTGTCAGTTCGCCTGTCCCTGTGGTACCCCCCTCTCCTGGGCACCCATAAGCCTGTGCTCTCAGCTGCTACGCCAGGGGAAGTCCTTGACTTTCAGGTTTGTAACGCCAAACTGTCCTTTCAGTGGTCACAAATTTCCACTGAATTTGTTTTTGAGGCTTCTGCCCTCCCTTCAAATATATGCATGGGATAAGTGAAGGGCTGTCATTTTGTGTCAGCTATTTTTCAGTCAGACTGTGTTATAGCCCAAGTATTAAGACAAGGGAAACAGCAGATCAAATAGGCCCCAAGATTTTGTTTATTCAGATGACAAAAAAATACATTCTTTAGTTGTTTCCCATTAAAAAAAGTTAGTGTCTTGTTACCATTTTGTAATACAAGAGCAGTGAAATCAACTGCATAATTTTCATCATTTTGGTTCTCTTTATTTCTTAATTAGCTTTATATCCCAACAACTTCTACATAAGCTTTAAGAGTGCGGTTGCACATGTCAAGTCACGTTAGTTATGCAACAGATCCCACCTTCAGGGCCCACAAACTATGACTGACCATGCAAGATTTTGGTTGCGAACAGTAATTCCGGATGACAGTATTCCCTTGATCCCTGTGTGTATCAGGGGGAATTGCAAGAGTGAAGGTCATTATCGTCATGTGTTGTTTATTACATAACTGGATAAAACAAAAATATGTTTTGCTTTGTTTCTAACCTGTGGGAGAACCATGTTCTCTGGAGCGTTACAGTGTCATATCTCAGCAATACCTTGGGCTGAAAGGGAGGGCATACTTAAAATGGGTTTCACTTGTAGCTATGGTAACATGAATTGAAAAGCAAGTTATTGTGAGCTTTTATCGCAGTTGTTAATTTGTCAAAGCAAACATGACAGAAGCAATTTGTAAAGCTCTAGGGCAAACTCAATTTGCACTTTGAGACTTTCCCTGTAAAACACGTACAAAGCAAACACCAAGAAAAATACTATCATTATTCAGTTCAGAGAAGTCAAAGCTCTTGATTCAGGAACAGCCACTGGTCCTTCAGATAAAAAGAGTGATGAGAGCACTTTAGCTCCACAGGTATGAAGAAGTGAGTGTTCTTATAAATTCTGATACTATAACACAGGAATTTCAGAGAACAACAGCAACTGAATCATTAAAAGGTATGAAGGAACTGTGTCAGCGACTGAAGGAAATAGTCTAAGGTACTGGATACATGCAGCCCGGCCAAACTAGATAGTAATACTATGGGTATAGACCAAAGATATTTGGAGGCTGAGAGGAAATGGTTAAGTATCAAACTCATGGAGCATAATTTTGCTTAATGATTTATTTTTAAGCAAAGGAAAGCTTAAATTTCTTAAAGAATAAAATCCACACTGTTCAACAAAATAGTAAAACTCAAATACTGAATTATTTGAGATTATATTGGCCAAAACACTAGAGATCATATTGCTGCTAGTAGGCTTCTTTTGGCACAGCAAAGAATGTACAATTTTATAAACTCATATATTTCTCTGTTTCCAAGCAAAACAAGAAAAGTGTGTTCGCAGACTGCTTTGCCTTACAGTAGCTGTTACTGTAAGTCACCAGATGATCCTTGCTGTCCTTTCCAACACCTGTCACTCACCTTTCAATTCCAACTAAAACAATACAAATACATTAAAGGTGTTAAATTAAAATAGTATCATACTGCTTATACTAGTAATATTAACAATGTATATTAGCAACAAGATCTCCACACTGTGGCACTATAAAGTTTATAAGAATATAAAAGGTGTATGTGCATATGTGTTTTCCAGCTTTAGAATTCTAATTCAACCTCACCTGAGATCACTGGCTTATATTAAATATAGCATATTCACTTGATACGTGACATTAATTACAACCCCAAATAGAGAAGTTCAAGCAAAACTCTATACAGAGCAACACTTCTACTTCTTACTAAAGTAAGATATATAGGCAAAAGTTTTAATAATACTTTTGAAAAGTGAGCAGAGTTTTAAATCTCATTTCCAAAACTAATACAGGAACTGTAACATTATTATATATCTATATTATTGAAAATACAATATCATTATTATCAATAATATACAATTAACTATTTGTAAATTTGATTAAAACAGAAGGAAGCCAAGAATATCACCAAACCTCTGCTGAAAATCACTTCAGTTTGGATAAAAGCTGCTTCCCAGAACTTGAAGGGAGACAGCACACCAATTTCTTTTGAGATCCTTGCTAGCTGTTGTCTTAAAGAAGTTGATTTAGACTCATGCTCATCCTACCAGCTGATAAGCCACCTAGACATGTTTTTGTTTTCTTAAACTCCTTTCTTCTTGGGGGAATTAGGAATGATAGCACTTTAATCCTGGCTGCTCATGAGTGGTCTTAACAGCTATTAATTATTTTGTCAAACTCAATTAACTTAAAAGTTTTAAATATGTATATGCTTTTGTTTAGCAGCAGTGCTGCTCATCTTGACAACTTTTCTTTCTGGCACGATTATATATTTCAAATGCTTTTTCATTGTTTGCTTCACTGTTTCCATGAGACACAGAATCTTTTCAGTTTTATGGATAAAAGTTGCCACTTTGGATTGGATTGAAACCTTCTCGTTATTGAACTTAACATTAAATCTGTGACTACCATTGGTATACATGAAATTTTATGTGTATTTTTGAAGCATAAAAGCAATGGTGATATCAATTCTGGTAGCTGAAAGATTTGTTTTGTAATCATTGTTTAGTTGCATTCTTAAAACAACATGAGCAACTTAAAATTTTGCTTCATTTTATGTTGTTATTTCTTAGGAAACTCATGCTAAGCTAACAAATATGAATGTTAGAGTCTTTCACTGTGATGCCCAAATACATTTTAGTAGTTAAATTTAAGCATCAAGAAAAATTAGAGCTCTATTTGGTAGCTACTTGGGTGGGTTTTTTTGTTTTATTTTTGTTTTAACTAGTGCAAATATTGCTAATGTGCTACCAGATAGGATTTGATCAATGAATTCCATAGTTTTTCTATCCCATGCTATATTACAATAGCTGCATTATGGAAAGGCAAAAGAACTTGCTAAGCAAATGCATTGAGCTGAACCTCATTATGCGTGAAATTATAGTGTCTTTCTTGATACAAAATAGGCCAGTTGTGTTCTTATTATACTTTAGTTCTGATAATTTATGTCTGAAGGATGTTGTCGTCATCTCAGGCCTGCTCCTATTTTTAAGAGTCTGCCAGTGTTTTGTATAGGTGGTTTTTATTAAATTTATTAATTTTTCAATGAAAAATCAATTATTTTAAAAGCTTATGACAAGTGTTGGTGTTAACATATGCTATGTTAGTTTGTGTTTGTTTCTAAATATTATATAAATCCTAAAATGCACGTAGATTTGATTAATTTTGTGCTTACATCTTGTGTAACTTCACACTTAATTTTATTCCGTAGGAATTTGCTGCACTGACAAAAGAATTAAATGCATGTAGGGAACAGCTGCTTGAAAAGGAGGAGGAGATTTCAGAACTGAAGGCCGAAAGAAACAACACGAGAGTAAGTGTATAGCAGACCTTTTCTGGATATCATGTATGTATAAAATAGGAGAAAAAACTCCTTGCCCTCCCTGAAAATGTATTTAAATAAGTACATGAGACTTGTCATGTAGTAGGATGTATCTACCATGCTGCAGACCTGCAGAAAATGACTCCATGCTGGACTTTGAACGTTGCAAGGTATGTACATTCAGAGCAAGAGACTCACTAATCTTTCCAAGACCCAAGTCCTACATAAGTAGCCTGCACAGATCTTCTCTTCTCAAGGCTAAGGGCAGGGGTACAGCATATTGAGGTACCTAGGAGCCTTGATTTTGGTCTGAATAAGGATGAGATGAAGGCTGCCACTTGTATCACAGTGACTATGCTGTTTAGTCCAGATGCAGCCACTGTCATCCTTGAAGTAAATATCATTTGTGATACAGCTGAGGACATTTCACACCTAAGTTTGCTATATTCTGCTTCAATCAAAAGCCATTATTCTGTCCGCAACCAACAATCCATGATAGTGCCTCCTGGAAAAGATGCTGAACACCAAGGATGTTTTAACATATTTATGTTGCATTCTTCTGTGCTCTGGGCAACTCTTCCTGCTTTCATCCTTTCACTATACCAACAGTGCTTTGTGCCTCACTTAATATCTTTCCCTGGTTACCTGACTGGCATTCCAAAGGTTGTCTAGCAAGATACTTGACAAAAGAATCGTGACAGTCTTTCTCCATCCTTTTTACTGCCAGATATAGAATAGAGTGCCACAAATTCCAGAAATCCAAAGATGGTCAAGTGATACAGTTGTCTACTAAGAGACAGTGGTTCTTCATCTACCTCCATGCTAGCTTAAAGGAGCAAGAAGAGATAATCTTGCTAAATGTAAAAGTTTTAGATGTGTTGAGATTGGGAAATGTGATGGGAAACAGATAAAACATATTTTTTCCTCCCATAACTCTTTCATAATCTAAACAATACAAAATTGCTCCCACAAAATTAGAATTAATGAAGAAGAAGATTGGAGTTGCAATGCATTCTTCAGGTTGGCAAGCCATCTCAGCCATGTATTTCTGAAATAAAGCTGCTTAGATTTTCAGTAACTGTTATGTATATCAGTTATTTAAATGTTTAAAGGAAAACTATTAAAGTCAACTTTATAAAGTTACATAGAACAAAGAATAACTTGTATTAATTTCTAGCACAAACTTCTGAAGACAAGATATGGTTAAGATAAATGCCCAGACAATTGTACTGATTGGGTAATCTCCATATACACATTCCTAAACAGAAAATACCTAAATTTGCCTTTCTTTACAGAAAACATAGTACATATACTAAATTTAAATGTATTCTTCTCAGTCATCATACATTCTCATAAGAATGCGTACAAAACTATCTAGCAGAAAGTTTTTACCATTTCACTACAGAGCCCACTGAACACCAAGTTTGTACCCATACCTAGCATGAGTCTGATAGAATAAGTAGCTCAAAGAGGAATACCATGACAGCCCTGTAGTCAAAGACAGTTGCACACCAAACAACTGTGAGAGAAAAGCAAATTGAGTTAGTTACAAGTCAAATTAAGCTCTGTCATAGCACTTTCTTTGCGAACCAAAAAATTTAATTATTGTCCATTCTTGTTTTTATATTACGTGAAAGAAAATCCAGTAAGAGATTTTCCAGGAGATTCCAATTAAAAGTTGGAAAGTATGATGATGTTGCCAGAAGTCCTTGCAGTTTAATCTAATATACTCAACTAATTTGTCTTAATAATGAGTACAAAGGTAGGCATTGGAGATTAAAAGATTTAGTATACAAAAATATATAGAAAATGCAGGAAATGCAAGAGTAAAGAGCTGAAGATAAAGGTAAGTGTTAATGAGGAAGAAGAAAAAAATCAGACATGACTGATGCCTTACACTGTCCTCCAGAATTTTCATTAACATGTTGTCATCCATCATGTCATGTATATATTCCTTCCATTCTGTCAGTTGCCATATACTAAGTTAGTTCCTGGAGTCTATTCTAATAGTCATGTTGCCTTATACAGGCTCCCTACACTGTGTTTATAGGTAAAGACCAGCATTCCAGTTACACTGGTGCAGCTGTTGTCTTCAGAATACAATCATCTCCATGACATACTAGATAAGAGGTTTCCAACAGGAAGTCATTGTACATAATGAAGCACTTTTACAAGCTGATATTTATGCTGTTAATGCAAAGCAGCATTAATAGTTTGTCAGAAAAAGCTACTACTTTTTTTTTTCCTGTTATTAGAGATTCACATTCAAGTAATAATATTTAGAAGACCACAGAAATACTTTTGCAGTGAGGAATCAAAATGTCTTTCCTAACATCTAAAGTGAGTCCAGCTAATTCTTCTTTCCATCTGCCCCACTACAAGTCATATCTAACCAGCTCTGGCCTTACTGTGCCCACAGGACACTCTCATGCATAGCCACACTTATCACCCTGACTCAGTACAAACACTTTTTTCCCAGGTAGCACTTTCTACTAATAATAATTAAAAAAGCTCAGGTCTAGATTCTTGGGTTCCTATTTTGAACTTTTTTAATGCAACCTTTTGTTTCCCTGCAATAGCACTGGAAAGGTACTGTTTGAAGCACCAACTGCTTCAAACTGGAGATCAGCAAGAAGAAATTGAAATGGCAAATCTGTCAGGTTCTGAGTATATCGAGATAACTCTTGCTTTCTATTTCCCTTTTACATTTCTCATACATTTTCCTTTGTTCTAGACCCACACCCATGTATTTCTTTATTTTCCCTCAAAAAAGCTGCAAGACCTAATCTGCCATTTTAGGCCAAGCTGCAGCAGCAGATCCTGACAGTAGAATGCATTAGAATGTGCTAGAATAACATTCTGTGAGACCCATAAACTCTTGGTCTCTGCCAAAAGACTACACCTTATAGCTTACCCTAGACTTGAGTTCCTAGTCAGTCCTTCTAGTAGAATTCTTAAACAAAGCTCCCTGGAAGACTTTTTGCTTTAAAATATGTATTTTTATTGCCTACTATACTCTCACATATTATAGTAAAAATATTTTCATGTCACAAACTTAGATGACAACTTCATCTGCCAGTACATTTGGCAGCATGAAAAATGCAGGAGCATATGTGTATATATTGATTAGTGTGGTGTTGCTGACAGGAAGACAAACAGGCTCTCTCTGTAAAATCACTGCATGTGATTTTGAAAACATATACAAAAATACCTTGGAAGAAATTACTATATAGAGTGAAGGAATGCTATCCAAAGGGACCTGGACAAGCTTGAGAAGTGGGCCCATGTCAACTTCATGAAGTTCAAGAAGGCCAAGAGCAAGATCCTGCATCTAGGTCAGGGCAATATCAAGTACAGATACAGATTAGGTGGAGAATGGCTTGAGAGCAGTCCTGAGGAGAAGGATTTGAGAGTATTGGTTGATGTAAAATTGAACTTGTGCCAGCAATGTGCGGTTGCAGCCCAGAAAGCCCACTGTGCCCTGTGTTGCACCTAGAGATTATTTTTTGTCTTGAATGTACAGAAACTCAAACGTGGAACATAAGCTGCAGCTAGGCTATGACTTCATTTTTCCAAGGAAGGATTACCACCAGTACTTTACCAGTAAAGTTATTTGATTTCCCACAGGAGCAAATGAGCTTCCACTGCTGTTGAACAGTGCAGAGGAAGATGACTGGCTTTATGGCTGAATTTAGAGATAATCTGCAACCCCTTATCTGCTTAGTTTACTTTTCTTCTTTATTTGCACCAGAGGTAGAGATTCACTAAATAACGTGTATTCTAAATACAGACTGAAAGGAAATTGCATTTTGCATGCGTTGGTGAGAAGCTGAACATGAAAGAGCATTGTCTTCTTAGTGGGTTGCCCTGTTTTTATAAGGAATCCTTAAGTCAATCTCATTTTAGCAAATCTTTTTTCTTCTATATTGTATTTCCCCATATTCTATTACATACTTTTCTCCATCACTCTCTCCTGATTCTTTCCTTTCTCCGTTTAATACCCTGCTGTGAACTTTTTTTTTTTTTTTTGCAGTTTTATTGAAAACAAAGAGAATTAAGATAAAATACTTTATGCTAATTAAAATTCAGATCCTATAATAATGCAAACGTTAATGAGTCATACTAAATTTGGTTTACTGAATCATTCTTTAAAAAATTTCTTTTTTTCTTTTTCACCAGTAAATCAGTGTCCCTGTGGCAATGATGGTTTAGTACAATAGAGGTACATGATAACATACAAAGACATTTAGTTACACATTTCTATTTCACTGCTGCTTTGGAAATGATCTGAGAAATACAGTAAACTGTATTCTAATAGCTGTCTGTTTTTAGTTTGTTCTAATTAACATTTTAAAGTTGCTTCATTCCTTCACAAAATAAGCAGTCAAACATTTTTCAGTGTTTGAATAATCATTTTTAAACATTCTTCGTGTTCATGAAGTCAGAGCTCTAGAAACACCCATCCCATTTAGCTACGGTAAAATTATCAGCTTGGGATCTTGAGGATCCTAAAACTCACCCAGCATAAGAAACAAATTCAAATGTCACATTATTTCATAATTCATTGTCAAGCTTATGCTTTCCAGCAGGAAAAGCATAGTGATGACTGGTATTATACGTGGGTGATTCTGTCCTGCTTTCTGCTGTTGATCTTCATCTTCTCTGCAAGCCTTCTGTCCCTGTGAGCACTTGACGACTGTAAGATCAACACAGAGTGAGGGAGCAGAAAATGCTCAGCAGCATGTGTTCTTTGTTAATGCCAGAGTGTGACTGAAACATACAAAAGCAAAAAAAAAAAGCAAAAAGTTGAAGTAAAGATGGCTAAAATATCATTTTAAATATAATTTCAGCAGAGAATGGAGGAGGGATTTGCCAGCAGACTCGCTAACTCCTGGGTTGATTGGTTACTCTTCCCTTTCAGCATGGCTGGGAGTACTGTGGTACAGGGACACCTGATTAGTCATACTCTGTGTTCAGCTAACATGGATTTGCTATAAGAAGCATTCACAGATTTTGTGGAGAAACAGTCTTTTGTTGAAAAGCAAAAATAAGAAATTGCTCTCAGACAGAAACCTATGTCAGCATGTCTTGTTGAGCACTCTGAGAACTGGCAGTAAGGAAAATACCACAGAGGTAGTTTCTGGAAAAATGAACCACTACTATTTGAGTAGCTGGAATATTGTTCTTACATTAAGAAAAAGAATGCAGTGTTCACAAGTAATGCATTAATTTTGCATGAGTGTTTGACACCTGTGTCAGTAGCTCATCTTTCTACATTATGATAAAATCAGTGCAGTGTTTTATACTTGTATTTAACAACTAAGAAATATGTGTATACATTTATATTTGACACTTCTAAAGTGATAATTCTAAGCTTAGGGCAAAACTAACTTGTGTGTATATTCCTATACACTTGTGTGTATATCCTATGTTGACATCATTTTTCTCCTCTAAGGCAGTTTTTCTCACTTTTACTTTCCAACCAAGACTCTTAAGAATTTCCCTTTCTGATCATCGGTCCAGGATAATCTGTTTAGGATAGTAGAGCATTATATAATAAATTTACTCAGCGTTAGGTTGATTTAAAAAATTAGTTTGCAAGATTATGTAATTCTAGACTTTTACTATAAGTGGCAGTTTAAGCCACAGATAATTGCAAACTTATGGAAGATATGGCCATGGTAATTCTGTTCTGTTCATGATAGCAATTAGCTATTTAAGTTATGAACGGAAATATTCTGTTAAGAGTTGGGAAGCTGTCCTAATATAATAAGAGTTACAGCCTTACTACATCCCCATGTCAAGTTCTTGACGCCACTACGATTGAAGAGGCCTCTTCAAATCTGCATGTTACTTTGGACTGCTTCCAGTTATTAAAAAATCAGCTTTGTCTGTTGTCAGCCCTACGGAGATCAGATGACTCATTTGCTTTTGATAAATATGAGCCACCACTTGAAATAAATAGTGGTAAAAATACCTTCCTTCTTCCATGAACTACATGGAGTCATTACAATTCTTCGTGTACTAACATTAATCATATATGTGTTCACTATTTTTGGCAAATAATGTAATTATTTTAAAACAATAAGCAGCTGCAAATCTAGATATGAGAACCATGTTTTAAGCAAAGAGTGCATCAAACCCAAATTGTTCCTAGCTTGATAGCTGTATATTACAATTACAATGTGTTTGTTCTCTGTTTATGCTCTTTCATGTCTTGTTAATAAGGTAAAGGTCATTATGTGGCTGAGAATAACTATGGATTACAGATGAACACGTCTCTTTATTAATTGTAGTTATGTTAAGAACAACATCAAAAGAGAAATAATAAACAATTTGCTGTGTAACTTTCAAATTTCCATTTAAGGCTAAGATATAATTGTGCATTGTGAAATACATGTGTCAGGAATTATGATTCACGAATTTAGCAACTTTGTTACAGACTTAGAGCTTACTAATTCTCTTCTATGTTTAGATAGTAAGAGTAAATGGTAGCCCTATAAAAGCCTTGCTAAATTGTGAATTTTCCATACAACATCAAGTCATTTCAGTTTTTCACTTAAGCTACTTAGAGTAATAATGACAATTATCATGCTTTTACAGTAGGTTATCTACAAGCTAGTCTACAAATAATTTAAATTTATTTAGTAGCCTGAAATGTATTGTTTATGGACCATTTGTCTTCCCTCATGAAGAGACATAATAAACATTTTAGAGCATGTTAGTGACATGTAAATGTCATGAAAGGTGACATTTAGAGTAAATAGTCTTCAAATGTAATTAAACATTATTTCTACTTTTTTTCATATTTTATTTATCATCTTCCAGTACAAATTTAAAATGCTACAGCTAGGTTTATAAAATATAAGCTGCTTTCATATTTTTCCATGATGTTCTACAGAGGTTTTGGTCTGTTTAGTTGTTATTTGATAGCTTATGATCATTAATTACAACGACAAATATTGTTATAAATATGTCCTTAATGCAGTTAAGTAGCGACTCTATGACAAATGATTTTTTTGTTCTCACTTTCCACAGAGTTTAAAATTAAATTATGATTCGATTTTCAATTTTTGTACTTATTCTATCTGATTTTGAATCATGAAATCTTGGCAGTAATTCCAGTAGTATCTCCCATAAAGAGGTGGCCAAGAGAATTGCCATTTGGTACCATGCATTTTGTAGTTGAGTCCCCAAGGCATTTAGGTGAATAGAAATTAATAACCTTTCATATACAATCCAATAGCTGTTACTGGAGCATTTGGAGTGCCTTGTCTCAAGACACGAAAGATCACTGAGGATGACAGTGGTGAAACGGCAAGCACAGTCTCCCTCAGGAGTTTCCAGTGAAGTTGAGGTCCTCAAAGCTCTGAAGTCTCTGTTTGAGCACCACAAGGCTCTGGATGAAAAGGTACAGTACGGAAAATATATGTATGTGAAATATACCCTCTGACTTACTTTACTGTGCCTTATGATGCTTATTGTGTATTTCCTTCTTTATATAAGTCTTTTACTTAAAATATTTGTATGAATTCTAATAAGTCCTTGGGAATGTATGACCAATTTTTGCAGTATTGGTCACTTTAGCTATCCTTTGTAGTCAGTAACACTGACTTTTCAAAACAAGCAAATCTTACCCTCATCAGAAAGATTTCCCCTGTTAGTGCTATATAAACATGGATGGAATTTATGTCTCTGGTATGTTTTTAGGTTATTGATGAGAAAATGTAGACTTCTCAAATTTTAAAAATACAAAGGGGGAGTGAAATAAGAGTACAGATCTTTTTGACTACGGAAAAGGACTTCCTCCTAAAACATTTTACTGGGAAAATATTCTAAGTTTCAGATATATTTTTTTCACTGACTAAGCACAGCGTTTGCTGTAATATTAAAATAGTATAAAATGAGTAGTAGATCCTTCATTGTCAGTGAATACACCATATTCATAGGGAAGATGGTCTGTACAGAAATGTCTCTTCAGTTAATCAGCCTTAAACTTCTTAGTGCTTCAGGTCTCAAAGGCTCCTTACAGCCGCTAAGATGCTGATATCTTTCCTTGGTTTACTTCATGGAATGGAAAGATGTACAAATAATGTTAGAGCACGATGGAATATTGTGGTATATTAAACACACACATAAATGGGATAGTTTATAATACAGCACATGAAAAGACATTGTTAACATGGAACAGAAAATACAATCTTAGGTTAACTTCATATTTAAAGTAGATATTGAGCTTAAGAGTAGATTAGGAAGTTCTTTATATATAATACAGGAAGGACAAAAACTAGAAAAAAAAAAAATATTTACAACATTCTATAGATTTCATTTCCTTCTAATACCTGTCTGAACATGCTTATTTTTCTGCAGCTTTTTTTCTATTCTGGTTTACACTTTTGATTCAACTTTTAAAACGTACATTTGTAAACACTGAACTTATGCAACTTCTCCAAACTCATTTTTAGTTGATTTGTTAAGACAAAATGTCCAACTGATCTTCACAGAGAAAAGCAACACCAGGTTTTACTATTCTACATGATTTGAAAAACATTGGTTCTCTTAAGATAATTCATGTCAGAAAAGTATGCCTATCCTTTAATACAAAAACTACCAATTCATGTTGACATTATCACTATCTTTTTATTCATTAGCAGGTAGGTAAGAGAGCTTTTATTCACTATGAACAAAATTGATTCAATTCTAGCATGTGCAAGTGTTTTTAAAAGCTCTTTGTGGGCTGCAGATATGGAGAGAAAGGAGAAAGACTTTGACAGCAAGAAAAAATGTGGAAAGTGGTTGCTAAGAGACAGAGGAAGATGGGTGATATTTTGCACCAACAGCAGTGCTAACATGACACTGGCTATGTTAAATTTCAAGATAATAATAATAGGGCTGCACTTAAAAGCCAGAAGAATACCCTGTCATCTGGGCCCATGTTGGATATATCCAGTAACAAGGAGAGCAAACCTTTTCTACTGCATCTGTGGCTCCATAATGGGAATCATTTCTTTAAAAATGGATATTATACCATGGTTTGATAGATTAAATGACATCTGGTTAGTCTTACTTTGTGAAGCCTTGTTTAGTAAAACTCCATCTAGTGCCCAAGAAAATAGGAGTACACTGAAGGACCATATGAAGTGTAGGTAGTACATTATTTTTGAAGTAATAAATACAATCGGAGTAAAATAATACTTGCTTCTATGAGCTACTTTTACTCACTGTCTTTAAATTCCAGAATGGAGAAAACAAATTGAATCATCAGAAAAAAAACAAGACAAATTTATCAGATAAAAATATTTTGCAGTTGTTACTGCTCATTTTTCACTAACAAGGCAGTGAGTTAGAACAACAGCTTTTCTTGTATTTGTTAGAAATTAAGATGATTTTGTTTGCTTTGTTTGCTTTAACATAAATTTGAAGAGGGAATCAAAGCAAAATTAATTGCAGTGTATTTTTATATGAATTTCAGAGAATTTGGCTTTTTTTAGATTCAAAGTTTTTTCAATATGAACTTATGAATTTCAGGGAAAAAATAATACAATTACTGAATGATAATAGTTAAAGTAATATTCAAAATATATGATTACCAAATGCATTAGTATGGTCTTTTGTAAGCTGTATGTTTTTCCCGGAATATGGATGAGAAAACCTGAAGTCTTTATTCAGCTTTTGTATTATTATTCTTCAAGTATATTTTGAAATCACTTAGGACAGAGAAAAAATAATTAATAAATAAAGTTACAATTTCTGGGCTGTAGAGTAGATTTCTCCTTTAAATCATAACACTAATGTAGCATTGTTTTCTCTTTTACACTGGTTTAATGAATACCTTCCCCCACTTTTAACAACTTCACTTTTAACAACTTCACTTTTAACAACTTCATGTGGTTGACCATGAAGAATTAGTTGCAACATTTCCTATGTCACCATGGCATATGTGAGTCCCAATTAGTTGTTCTCTGCGCAGATGAAAGAAAAAAGACTTCTGTGCCAAGGCAGAGTTGCTTTCAGTTCCTTTAGAAAATGTTATAGTTGGAGAATAAATAACGGCCATCAGACTGCAATTTTACTTAAATCATTATAAAAAAGTGCATTAACTGTGTAGCTGCAAAGCAGGAAAAGAAAGAGAGGGCAAGGCAAGGCAGGTCAAAGCTATTTCCAGCTTTGTCTTTGTTTCACACTGATATTGTTCTGTGTTTTAACTGACAAAAGGTCAAGAAAGAAAAAACATGGATTTATATGAACATAATAGCTTGATAATCAGAGTAATGAAATTAATAATTACCTATATTTTCTGAATTGTCATGTAAAAAAATGTCTCCTACACTGTCTTTGAAACAGCTGCCTATTATTTCCAAGGGACGTTGTTTTTCAAACTGTAAAATGTCTTTATAAAAGCCACTAGGATTCAGTTCTACAGTGATACAGGTTAAGGATAATTTTTTTGTGATTCCAGCTCCCTTTGGAACTCTCACCTCCTCAGTAAAATGGCCTAGTTGGTTTGCAAATTCTAAAACTCCTCTAAGCAAACACAAATGTTAAACATTTTAAAACATATTTTAAACACATGCATTCTCATTTATAAAACACTTAGGCTTAAATACAACAAGATTTTAGGAAACTTTTGGAAGATGTAAAATAAAAGGACAAACTCATTGCATGTAATTTCAGCTAGTAACAGTCACCATCTTGTGATATTTTCCTCCATCATCTTGTTCTTCAGTAATACTTACAGTCAAGAAGACTGAAGTGAGAAAGATGATTCTCATTTCTCTATTAAAAAAAATATTTTATGACAGCTTGCACTGTATAAAAGGTTGAAATAAGGCTTCTTGAGAGAGGACTATAATCCTTAGTTATCAGTGAAGTGCTAGTGAGAGACAAAAATTATGGTGGGAATTGAAGCAGGAATTTATATAGAAAGTGCATTTTACAGAGGAATCAGGAACCTCTGGGAAGGTTGAGAGCATACGAAGAGGAGAGAGAGAGAGGAAGAGGAAGAGGAACCACAAAGATGATCAGAGGTCTGGAGCACCTTTCCCATGAGGATTGTCTGAAAGAGCTGGGCTTGTTCAGTGTGGGGAAGACTCCATCACTGCAGTCTTTCAGTACATAAAGGGAGCCTAACAGCAGAGATGTGGACAGACTCTTTGGCAGGGAGTGTAGTGATAGGACAAGTAGTAATTGCTTGAAACTAGAAAAGGGTAGATTTATATTATATTATATATAGGGAAGAAATTCTTCACTATGAGAGTGGTGAAGCACTGGAACCCATTGCCCAGAGAAGATATGGATACTCCATCAGGATGGCACCTGATGGGTACCTTTGTGTACCTCTGTAAGTCATGATTTCTGTTCTCTTAAGACTTGCAACATTGTTTAGTGCATTGTAGAACTGTAGTATTATAGCATTCCAATAACTTATGTGAATAATTTAAGCTGAAGTATGTAAAGAGGACCAAAATCCTCAGAAGTACTACTAGATCTGCATTGGTCAGAAAGGCTAAGAAGTTTCTTCTTTTTAGTGTTCTTTTCCTGAACATGACTTTGGTCGCCATTCTTGAGACTTACAGAATCTTCTAGCAAAATCTGACTTCCACTGTGATTAGTAATAATAGAAAATAAAGTATGGTAGGAAAGGTAATAAGAGTTTTTAGACTAGGAGGTATCACAAGAAAAAATATGAAAGCTTTAGTGAAACATTGCTTTATGGGTCTCCCATATTAGTCAAGGAGCTGAAAACAATTATACATACATGAAAACGTGCAACATTTCATTGTAGATGAAAGATTGATTTTTTTGTTTGTTTTGTTTTGCTATGGAATCTGCTGATCTAGTAGAGTGCATTCACTTTCTCTTCAAACACTCCTTACATCCTTAAACATTCTTAGGTCATCAGCTGGATCTAGGATGGTTTGGTGGGAATGGTGATAGAAATATCTGCTGAATTTAGGCCCATTTTACTGGGTTATTGTCAAGTAACTTAATGCGACATGTGTATTGAAGTTGTGTGGACTAGCAGATGAGTTGCTATAGGATCCCTTTATGGTCAGAAGAGATAAAGTAACCAACACACAGCACTGAAGTTCAGTTTAGGTCAGATTTACCTTTTAATCATACTGGGAACCTTGTGCCTACATTGCTAGCTTAGGTTATCTATACTTACATGAGATAATGCTGAGTCAAGATGCACAAACAACAGAAAAAAAAATATGTTTTCAAAGGTGTTACATAGTTGTTGCTGCTGCTTTTCATCATTTCATTTGTAAAAGATGCTTGTAAACAACATTTTATGTGTAATGTAATTTAAGAAAATTAGCACTTGCTTTGTTTTCCGTAGTATTATATGCAAACTGTAGAACAGCAGTACGGCAATTTAAAGTTTGAAACCCATTTTTGTGGGTTACATTTTCCTATGGTTAGGTTTAAACAATTACTGCAGAATATGTCTAATGAAAGGATGTAACACACCAATAGACTGGCAGGGCATACTGTAGTGCATATGAAGGATTATATAAATTTTAAAGACTGATAGAAGAAATGTTACAGCACATATTTTTGATTTTTCTTCCAGGTAAGGGAACGACTGAGGGTTTCTTTAGAAAGAGTCTCTGCACTGGAAGAAGAACTCGCTGCTGCTAATCAGGAGGTAATGTAAAACATTTTATGTCCTTCTGAGGTTCAATTTCGTTAATATTTTGTCCTGTGTGTTCCCTGTCACTTTTCTTAAAGCATTCCGAAAAAAGGATAAATTACATTCTGAGTAAGCTGATCAACAAGGCTGGTTTAAGGCACTGGCCAGATTGATTAATACAAGCTTTTTTTTTCTAATTTTTTCAGTTGTTAGCAAACTGAAATTTAGGAGCTAGTTACAGGTTCCTAAAATTTTAATAGATATGAAAAAAAGGAGTTTATCTACTAACATGTCATAATATAAAAAATTTAATAACTTGAATCCCCATTTTATTATTAAATTAAGTAAAACATTTATAGATGCGTATTATATGTATGTTAAATTAAGGAGGAAAGTATATGGCTGATATCAAAATTTATGTTTGCCATCCCTTTTAATTGCAGTATATAATGGTGAACAGTGGAGCTGTATAACTTTTGTGAATTTAGACAATAAATTTTTTCCCTATAAGCTAGCTTGCAGACTGTTCTCATATTCTGATTTGTTTGAAAGTGTGAACACCACAAACTGACTGTATTATACGTGCAATGCATGCACAAACAGAACGGAATTTTGCACCCATGGAGATAATTCTGAAGCCTGAGTGTATAATGGATTCAGGTGGTCACACTGCCACCCCAATCACATTCTGAATCTTCACCTGAGATGTGCTTCTCATACTGTTTAATGTAAGTTAGACAAGCAATAGAAACAGATGAAAGCTATTTTGGTTTATGTCCATTTCATGGTGTTCTTTTATTGAACTTTAAGTCACAAACTAAAAGCAACCACAGAAAAAGTTAAAGTACAACCAAATGCCTGTGGGAAAATGGAATGCCTATAATTCTGGACAATGTGTGAAACATAAACTACTGTAGTTGTTTACTGATAAACTACTGTAGTAGTTTTTTTTGTTGTTTGTTTGTTTTTCTGATGGCAAGCTAGAACAAGTAACTTTCTTGAAGTGACTTCTTAAAAAGGGTCTGCAGTGTATTAGTTCTTCCTTTTCATAAGCTATGAACAAGATATTATAAATCCTCCTTTTTATTTGGGCAGATAAAGTATAGTTACTTTATCTATAAAATACAATCCCTCTTTTACTGTTCCATTTCATGGAATAGTTGGGTTCAAATGATTTTGTTATGCTATATTGAGTATAAGTAATCTGTTACTCGTACTAGCACTTATAAACAGAAAGCAATCCTTTTGAACAGTGAAACTGAATGAGATGCATTCCATTACTCATATCGCTCTCATTCATGATCCAAGTTGACTGAGCATGGGACCAGGTCTTTAGAGCGTTGCCTTATTATCCAGAGATTGAAAGAAAATTATTTTAACTTGTATTGACAGTGTGGAGTAAAACCATACACCATTAAATTAGTTTGAAATAGGATTTTCATAGCCGTTCTTGCTCCTAATGCTTAGAAATGCTATGATTTTTTTGTCTCTAGATGATACTAAGAAATTTAGAAAGGTATTTAATTAGCAAAGCTTGACGTGACCATTAACAAAATCAGAATACTGGTATCCTAGTTTCCCGTGAGGGACTGTTCAAGCTTCAAACTGGAAATTCAGTTGAAAAATAAAAAAAAAGAGATAGATAGAAAGAAATAAGTGGATAATTTTCACACATTTAATGTTCACACTATTAGCAATTCAAATGAGTCAAAATTAGTTAGACAATCACAATGTATGCACCTGTTCTTGTACTGCACTGCTCAGTGAATGCACAGGCAATACATGGCTTTAAAAATTTATCATACTATGCATGAAAATACATGAGTGAAGTTTCCAAGGAATTAAACTTATGCTTTTCAGTAATTTCCATATTCCTGTTATTCAGTGTTTGCTTGCCCATGAGAATTTGTATTTACTTTTAATATCCGTTTTCTCATACTGGTTGTAAGAATGTATTACATATTCAGGACTGTATTTAAACACAAAATGACACCAGAACACAGTCCCCCGATTAAATGAGCATATGGTTAAGTATATAATGAGAATTCAGTGATTAAAAAAATGTAGAAATCTGCCTTCCTGTGAAGTTCCTATATTATGGTTGTTCTGACACAGCAACAGTGAGAAACAGCAGACATTCATGAGTTCTTGCACTGGAAATAAACTCATTTGAAAGGGGGAGGGGAGACTGTAGCTTCCTTCACTAGGTGTAAATAATCTCTCAGTTAACAGTTTTTTTGTAGCATATTATGTGCATAACAGTGCAAAAACATCCAGAACACTGACAAAGATGATTTCAGCTGTAGTTGCCAACACTGTCTTACATAGCACTTCTTATTTGTATGGGAACTGTAACACCCAGTGATTTTAAATTGCAGGGGCAGTTGAGATGGACAGCTCAAGACGCCAGTCTTGTGTATCTATCATGTGTAGCTAACATTTATGTGTATCACATCATGGTAACAGAGAAGGACCTTGACCTGCAGTTCCACTTACTGACTTATGACTTCAGTCATTGCTGTTGGCTGTTCTAGCTTTTAAAAAAAAAACAGCAAATGGTTCATTGTTGGTTTGATTCTGTGAAGGCAATAGTTTTTACTTAAAGAGAAAGAAAAGTTATTTAACTGTATATTTTATATTGCTGCAACTGATTTTTAACCTAGAAGGGTCTTTATAACAGCAGTCTGGAGAGTCTTCATGCAGACTGTGTATGATAACAGCCTATAGTAATTAAATTCCATAATACTTATAATATTTACTTTTTATCAGCAACTATCACATGATAAATCACTGAAAAACAGATTTACATGTGCTTACCCTTCAAATACTTTTGAAATGATGCAATACTTTATCTAGTCCCACAGAACCCATGATCTCTCCAAACAGTTGTAGCTGAATACTGTACAAGCTGCAGGAAGTACAGACCATGCCAAAGTCAGTGGTGCAGTAATGTAATGTCTGTTTATGAAAAATATGAAGGTGGGTACAATGTTTTTCAGTGAGCATATGAACATCGCAATTTCCAAGCTTCTATGAAACTCTCCTCTTTACACACTAATTTGAATTATTTAAAAGTCTTGAGCTGCCTTAGAATTTCCTCTGCTTCTACCAAATTTTACTCAACATTTTGTGCATGAATTTAACTCCTGGAGCTATCGGAGGGATTGCGGAAGATTTGGCTCACAGTCATAGAACTACATGATTCTCTTATTTGTGCAGTAGAGTAGAAACCATATAAAAGAAACAGTTTGATGAGAAAAATTGCATTTGCACTTCTTGAATGTCTAATATGCTCAAAATTTTATCAATTCAACATTCAGAAATTGATGGAATTTAAATCTATGTATCTATGTATTCAGTATGTTCAGTGACTTTTTTCTGAAAGACAAAAGCAAGGCCAGGCTAGATAGCTTGTACCTACTTCTGGTGACTTAAAGCATGTATTCCAGTGACAAATCTGAAATAGCTTTCACCTGTGTTGTCACATTTCACCATATTTTCTCAGAGCAGTGTATGTTATTGCTACATAAAGTCTCACCCACATTCTAATGGTCATGATTTATTTATTTATTTATTTATTTATTCATTTATTTATTTAAGAAATAACTTTATGCAGCTCTAACTGCGGTGAAGGTTTCACCACAGTTAAATTAATTTAACTTAAATTAACAGAATTTAATTAATTAACAGAAATTAAATTTCTAGGTGATTGTGCCAAATGATATTTTCTCTGCAAAGTTGCACATCATTAAAATATCTTAGTTTGAAATGTAATCTTTATGTCCTATATGTCATTGCTTTTCTTTTTGCCTTTAACTATCTAGTTAAATGTTAACTCTGGAAAATGTTACTGTGGCACTTGTTTTAAATGTGGTAATGAAGCAAAGCAACGTTGGCTTATTTTGTGACTCTTTCTTACACCCCATGCCCCACAGTGTTAATTTTGATCTCTGCACGTTTGAATTAGGATATGTGGCACAACAGCTGAAGAGACTGAAAAATACTTCACTGTCTTATTTTTTAGAAGATCAAAAAATAAGCACAAGAAATAATCTGTGAAGTTACAATAGGTATTTCATTTTATGCTCTCAGCTAATTCTAATCTAAGGTCTTATAAGAAAAACAAAACAAAGCACCACAATTGTGGATGTGTAGGGCAGCAAGGCATTTCTGCCAGAAGCATTTCTCCCTAAAGTCTGAGCAGAATAAAAAAATACAATGCATTTTTCATATAGTGACTTGAGTAAAGTAATATCTATTGGCATCTTTGAAACAAAACATCAGTATTCCATTTGTGGTTTCTCAATATTACTTATATCAACAGTAAATTTTACCACACTGAATGCAAAATAAACTTGTTTTTTCTTTTCTACAGTGATAGCAGATAATGACTTTGTGTATTTTAGTATTGTGATAAAAAAATCTCGTTAAAAAATTGCCTCTAGGTTTAATCTCCCATTCATAACTTTCCTTAGTCACTTAGATTATTTATGCATAGGATACCGAGTACTGTTGGTAACCCAGTAATGCACATTAAATAGGTTCAATAACTTGGGTCTTTGCTGAAATATTTTTCGAGATCTGTGTTGTGTAGCTGCCCAAATATCGAGTGATTTTGATCCTTGAGAGATTGTGAAGTGCTGTGTTCTCTTGCCCTTTTGTTTAATATCTGGCCACCTGTAATAAATTCTAAAATACCAATGGTGTGTTCAAGTTATGCATGTATTTCAATTTATTCCTTAAAAGAAACTACTTTCTAGTAAAGACTGATTAGCAGAAAAGAGTATATGGTGTTTGTTTGCTGAGAGCTTCCTTAAGAAAAGCTTAGCTGAAGGGAAAAGCCTTCCATTCCTTCATGAATCTAGTGTACAAATTGTCTGTTTTCAACATATGTCATAAAGACAACTGTTACATTCTATATTTATTTTCCAAACTGTCAAAGATTCCTAATATGAATGGATTAAGCTGCTGCAAGGTTTTACTGCTATTAATAGAGGAGTCACATTCTTCAACAG